TAACCCCAGCCTAAGCGTTTTAAATGCTGCTAGTTTTTAAATGCCTTGATTAATAGAATTTCCTTCCTTCCCACAAACTGTTGGTAATTTACCTTTATTAATAAAATTGCCAATCTGTGGATTAACAACTGAAGTTCCTTCATTATTATTAGATTGAACGTTTTTCTTTTTCAGTCGGTATTTTCGCCTGTATTCATTACACTTTTCTTTATTATTTTGTTTATAAATTTTCTGAGTTTTCCGGATATCTAAACGTAAATTCTGAAATAATTACTCTGTGTAATTATTGTTTCAATCTTGTTGAAGTTTTCAAAATATTTGTAAAATTTGTGGAAAAAGAGGTTGTAATTATTAAAGAGAGGGTAATTATTTCAGCGTTTACGGTAAGTGGTCTCAATTTTTTTCGAATTTCATGGCCATATTTTTCGATTTTATTTCAATAAAATCCGCTCCCTAATAAGATTAAAGATTTCAATTTCTATTTACGTTCCTAAATTTCGATTAGCATTACACTTTAAAAATTGATGTTTCATTATTTGGCTGTAGTTTAGTATACCGGAGCTCAGAATCAAGATCTCGAGCTGATTTTGATGTCATTCGACTCAGATCGAGGAGCTCTTTCAAATGAGCTATCACTCAAAAAATATAATTTTCCGCCCCACAATTGTGCTTACTCCCTCTATGGTTTTTCGATTTTCGGGGACCTATATCTCGGCCCACTGGCATTTCCGCGCCTGGGGAGTGGTACTGTTCGACTCAGCTCGCCGAGACGAGTCGAATGGTATGGGTTTTATATCGGAACTAAAACTCCGGTATACTAAGCTATATCCTATTATTTGAAGCATACTTCAAATTTTTCATTCGAAAAATTTTTTTCAAACTTGCTTAAGTTTTTTTGATGTTTCAATTTGTATGAAAATTAACAAATTTAATATATCACGGCTTTAAAAAATTTTTTGATCGCTTTATTGTTCATTTTTTGTTATTATTCCTCATTAATTAAATGTTGCAATTGTTGTCCCTTTCTTAGGTTAGCAACTAACCTGTTTATAGCTAAATGTTTTTACTGCCGTTTTATAAGTAAACGGCAGCTAATTAAATATATGTTAAGATGTGCGCCAAACCCATAAAGGTTTTACGTAACTAGAGGGGGATTGTTAAGGATAGGGTTGTTGGATCTTGAAAATATTTGGTTATTCGAACCGAAAGTTTCTGTTCATCGGTTCAAATCGGCCAAGGTCCGTTAAATGTTTGTTATTATTAACTGTATTCCTGTTTAGTTCTAAACCTTAATTTCGTTGTTATTCGTTTTAGTCCATAACGGCACATACTGGTCAATATTACTAAGATTTTAGGGATTTACAAGCAATCTAGCCTGATTGCCTCCCTTGGTTTACATAATTTTACAGTAGGGATTAAAGCAAAGCTGCTATGTAGAATAAACTTAAGACTATTGTCAGGCATCGAACATGAATCTACTGTTAAGTGTACTTAATATTAGAGATCGGTATTTTCAAAAATCCTGGATCTGGATTTAGTTTAGTAATTTGGACAGGATTCTTGATCTGAATCCAGGAAAAATCCAGACTGGATCCTTATCCAAACCGATCTTTACTTCATATTTATGGAAGTCAGCAATTAGAAAGTCAGTAACATATTTAACAGAATTTTGTTCCTGAAACATATTTAGGAGAACCTAAAAACATTTCTTCAGAATACACATATAGGATTGTCAGAATTTTGAAATAATTTTGGATATCCGCAGCCAAATCGAAGAACAAAACCGAGAAATCCTCAGTTCTTTAGGTTGTTTCCGTCTTAAATAAATTTAATTTTATTGGCTGATTTTTGAATAGTAAGTAAAGCATTTTTTTAGCGTTTTTGCGTTAATAACGCAACTTTTGCGCACACCCAAATAAAAACAAAACTTTTATCATTAAGCATTGTCGGAATCACTTATTTAGCAAAAACAATTAAATTAGCAACATAAAAGAGATGTTTAATTTCTTAATTGTTTTTGTATAAAAGAGAGTTGGGCCGAATGCCAGTTTTTTTCTTTCTTCTTCCTCTTTCAATTTTATTATCAAAGGAAAAAATAAAAGGTTAATAAATATTTTTGTGGATAACTATACAATCTTGTTTTTTTGTTAGCTTCTTGTTTTTGCTTTTTTCGGAAGAGGAAGAGTCCTTTAAAAGGAAAGGATTATCAGTTGTCTGAATCACACAAAATAAAAATTTTTTAAAACAACAAAAAATGAAAGGCTCTCTTCTTTGTTTAGCAGCGCTAGTAGCGCTTGTTGCGATAACTGATGCTTTCTTATTCGGTGGTGGAGGTGCTGGTGGTGGTGGTTGCGGTGGTGGTGGAGGAGGTGGTGGCGGTACAACTTGCTGTTGTTGTTGTGGCGGTGGCGGTGGTGGAGGTGGAGGAGGTTGTGGTGGTGGTGGAGGAGGATGCGGAGGCGGCGGTGGAGGCTGCGGGGGTGGCGGTGGGAGCTCTGGAGGCGGTGGCCCAATAATTGTCAACTGTGGAGGTGGTGGACATTCTGGAGGAGGTGGTGGTGGATATGGAGGCGGTGGTGGATGCGGCGGTGGTGGTGGAGGATGCGGTGGCGGTGGAGGATGCGGAGGTGGTGGTGGCTGTGGAGGCGGCTGCGGACGCAAGAAAAGATCAGAACCAGAACAATTAGAATCAGATGAACCAACAGTTGAAGAAAAGAGGAATTGATTTGTAAAAATTAAAAAATATATAGTTTTTTAAGATTTCAATTCCTTAAATGCAATTTTTGTATATTTTCAGTTCTCATCTCCCCCGTTGCCTATCCATTTTTAAATAATTTTAGTTTTAGTTGAAATTTCATTAAATTATATAATAAATAGTTAAAAATGTTGGTATAAAATGTTATAAGGATAAATTTTAATGTTATCTCTCCTAAAAGTCCGCAATTGACATTTGCGGACAATAAGCATTTTTCGGTTCGGATATCGGATCCGGATATCCGAAGATTTCCAAATATCCGCCAACCTTAGCGGACAAAACAATCTTTTATTATTTTCATTTTGGATATGTTACCTATATTAGTTCCTCCACCTTAGAAGGGGGTGGGATGTTATAGTATATAGTAGAGTAGGGTCCCCGTTTTTGGGTCGGGCTGACAGTCGAGGTATCTTTTTTGGGTTTTTTATCGAGTCGGGCCTGTCTTTTATTTATGAGTAGGATATGTTACCTATATGTTACCTATACCAAAAATGGACAGACTCGGACCGAAGATCCGAGTCGGCGTGTCGGTCGGCGAGTCGGTCGATTCTTTTCGGGCCAAATATCTTACGACCGACTCGCCGACTCGGATCTTCGGTCCGAGTCTGTCCATTTTTGGCAACCCTACTCATAAGTAAAAGACAGTCAAATTATCTATCTATATTTTGACTAAAATTTAAATTGACAATGAGTAAAATTTTAATAATTAAAGCTCACTTCAACTTTGTTTCCTTCCACATCGTGTGTTCTCTATTACGTCGCCTCAATTAGGTCCAGGAGTGGGACGAACTCAAGTCCGAAACTTGAGTTCAAGTCCGAAACCCGGTATGAAGAAAATTTTGAAAACTCGGCCCGACTTTTTTCTCATCCCTTCCCGTCCCCGATTCTGTCCGTAGCATTTAAAATCTGTAAGCGCAAGTCAAAAAGACACCCAATTTATACAAGCCGCAATTGCGGGCAGCCCAAGTCTCTAGATGTGACACAAAGAGTTGGAAGGGATCGGGATCCTGGGAAATCCCGGTTTTTTTGAATCCCGAGTTTTCTGATCACGAAACCGAAAGATAAATCCCGATCCTGATTTTGGCCAATCCCGATCCCGCAGTAATAACCGGGATCATTATTCCAAAATCCCGATCCCGGTTTTATGACGGGATCCCGATCCCGTCCAACCCTAATATTACATACAGCGGTACACTAGAAAGATAATAGAATATTTTTTTAACAATTTTTACTTTACAAATCAAATCAAAAAGAAAGTCAAATTAATAATAAATCTCCCTTTCTTCCCACACAATAAATATAATATTTTAATCCCTTCTCTTCTTTCCCATTTTTTCTCTTCATCTTCTTCATCAAAAATTTATATATTTATTTTATTCTTTTTTCTCGCTAGGCAAGAGCGATCCCAAACGATATCCTTGACCAGAAAATGGCTTAGCCTTTGGAGGCACATAATCTGTCGATTTACGTTCAACACGCAAATCAACTTCACGCCCAGGATAAAGACTTGAAAGTTCTGTTGGAATTCTCCTTTAAAAAATAAAGAAAGATGAGCATATTTTTAATTTTATTAGACAAAAGAAAAGGTCAAAAACCTGCTTCCGATTTTTTTTGGTTTTTAACACGTTGTGTATATATTTTTTGGTGATAAATTGAGAGAGAATTTGAAAGAGGAAATCAAAAAGAAAATCAAAAAGGAAGATGAAAATATTACTCGGACATATGACTTTTTAATAAAAAAAAAGAGAAAAACAATAGGAAAAAATTTATATGAAAATCTTAAAATAAGGGGAAGGGCATATCCAAAAATTGAAGAAGAAAAATAAATAATAAGAAAAAAATATCCAAATGGAATAAAATTTTTCTAGAATTTTTAAATATTCTTTTATTAATTTTTAAAATATAAAATAGGCAACTAGAAATTAAAAGAAGTAGAATTTTTAGGCAGTTTAACCTTTAGTTTTAATTTCAAAAATTTCCGAAATATTAACTTGAATTAGTATGTAAATTTTTCCCAGTTGCCCGCTGGGGGATGCGGGGACGAGGAACGGGGGCTTTGGGGGAAGACCTCCTCCCGTTCTCAAGAGAATTCCCTGCCTCGTGGAACGGGGGTCGAACCCTACATTAAATTCAAAAATTAAAAAAAAAATAAAAAATTCCTTGTTGGTTGAATCTCTGGGAATTGGAACGGTTTAATTTCAAAAAATTTTTCGAGAAGCAGATTTCCGAATTTAAAAAAAAATTTTTACTTGGAAGTAACAGCTTTAATAAAAGCCATATTTTTAGGATCACTAAATTGACGAAGAGGCCCATCATCCAACGAAAAACCATTACTCCAAATATACATTCTAACCTGAAAAACAAAAGTGGTTGACTGAAATAAAAGTCCTAGGCTTGTACTACTAAAACAGGCCCGTAACCTGGATTATTTTTCTGGGAAAAGAGAAAAGGGGGAATTTTTTGAATTTTGAAGGCTATGAAGCCATATTTCCCTCTTTTTCAACACCGGGGGCGAAAAAAGCCCGTAGCCCCCACCCGGCCTAAAAAACCCTACCCCTCCTGACCACAAGCCTGCCCTAAAAATGGTCAAGAAAAATTTCCAAAGTCAAGACATTTCAAAAATTTTTGGAAATTTAAAAATAATTTCAAGCCTAGGAAAGTTTTGTATGTAAACGTCGGAAAGTATTTAACTTACAAAAAAGGGTTGAAAATTACTTTTGAACCCTCATTTCCTCCCTAATTAAAATTCAAAAAAATTCCAAACCACTTGTTGAGGAGGTCTATTCGAGTTATTTCCAGCATTTGTTGCAGCAGCAGTAGTAGGCGCAACATTCCCACCAACAGGCCCACTCTCAACTCCATTCCCTCCCAAACGGAAACCGCCAGAAAATCTGCCGGATGAATTCGAACCGCTCTGTTGTTGTCGTCCAAGTGCTTCAACTTGTTCTGGAGTTAAACGTTCAGCTCCGGCACGTTGAATAGCATTGAAGAGATGAGAATCCAAATCGCGACGGTTTGGACCGAGAACTTGTTGACCACTTAAATTTTTGGAAAAATTAGAGAATTTAATTCAATTCTTGATATTTTATTTAAAAAAGATTTTTGGTAGAATGTCAGTAAAAAATTAAAAGAGAACCAAAAATATTCAAAAAACCCTCAAAAGATCCTTTCTACAAAAGCGAGGTAAGTTTTTTAGAGTGCCAGTTTTAGAGAGTCAAGAATCCCCCCAGAACGTGGACAAAAAATAGAGAGTGACATTTCATCCCAAACTTGATATTTGATAGTGTTTCACCGAAAACGAAATTTTGACCAGAACCGGATCTAATTTGAGTTCCGGATCCAGGAACCAGAAAACACCAGAAATCTCGGTGAAACAATAATATTTACCAAAGAAAGTTTTTTGTAGAATGTCAATGGCCAATCAAAAGGTAATCAAAAAATTGGCAAATCCCGGAGCGTGGACAAAAAATAGAAGGTGACATTTGATCTCACTTGATATTTAACCAAGAAAACTTTATTATTAGAATGTCATTGGGCAATCGAAAAGTAATGAAAAAATAAGGCAAATCGTTCAACAAAAATCAATCAGTCAATTTCTTAAAGAAAGGACACCTAAACACAAATAGAATTAACGGAAATTAACCCAGCCCTAAAGCCATGCTCCAAAACCCTCCACAAAACTCCCTAAACAAAAATTTAAAACAAAGAAACCTCCGAACACTTCCCCCAACAAAGAATCCTTGCCTATCCTCGTCTTCATTTGCACTATCACTACCCGAATGAGAATGTCTTGGAGGTCTGTCGTCATCGTCGGCGTTTAAACCGTGAATGCTTTAAAAAATAAATTTAAATTAATTAAATGAAAGTTGAAATACTTTGACATATTGAGCTTTGTTTGAAGATTATTTATTAAAGAAATACTCGTCACCTTGAAAAAACAAAAAATGTAATCAAAAAAAATTAAAAAATAATTAAAAAATTTTCTTTATTTAATGAATTAGAGACTGAAATAATTAAATAGCATTAAAATTAGAGAAAAATAGAAAAAATTTAAAAAACATTATGCCAAAAATAATTAATTTTAAATTACAAATACTTATTTTAAATAAGAAACCGGCAAAATGGGGTACGGCCCAAGTAGGCGCGCGGCCAAGTAGGCGCAAAGTCATAACTTGCTTCAAACTTTCCGAATCTTATTAAATTTGGTATTAAACGATTCCTCTCATCGAGCTAAAGAGATTGGTACCAAAATTGTTAAGGTCCATAAATTTTTCAGGTAGTTATGGCTTTGCGCCTACTTGGCCGCGCGCCTACTTGGGCGTGTCCCCGGCAAACTGGTGCCGTGTAATTTCGACAGAAGTGAATTGGGCAGTGAGTTAATTAGGCACTAACTGTTATTTGTGTCTTGAACTTAAAAATTTTCAAAAATAGATAGGTGATTGTGGACCCAGAGACGTGTTTAGCTACCCTTCTCTTTTCGTTAAATTTTATTGCAATGCTAATTTGTCCTTATAGTTATTCATTTTTTTTAAATTCAATTAAAATATACTTAACGCCGAGATTACGCATAATTATTCTTCTAGTGATACTCGAATTGTTTTTGCGTGAAAGAAAATTTTTTAAAAAACGTTTACTGCCTAAATCACTCACTGCCTAAATCATTCACTGGCGAAATCACCAAACACGGGCAGAATGTTGTTTGCGGGCAGGAAACCGGATTTTGGATTTCACACTCATGCCGGACCCGGCCGGATTTTTCCGGATTAATCCGGTCCGGGTTATGGCTTTGCGCCTACTTGGCCGCACGCCTGTCATACCAGGGCTGGGCGAAATCTAAAAATAAAAAGCGAAACTTTTCGCGCCAAAAAATGCAAGAATGCGAAAGATGCGAAACGCGAAAGTGCGAAATAAGCCCAGCCCTGTGCCATACCCATTTTAAATATTGCACGGCGCCAGACGGGATCTGGCATAATAGTGTTTTTCAAGAATCGACATCCAAAAATCTCGAAACAAAATTTTAAGATATCCTTTAATTTATTGTGGATTTATTTTTAAACGATTAAAAATAGCATTTCGATATGGAGTGTTTGTTAAAATACAAATAATCGGGTTAAATATAGGTGTTAAATGAAAGGAAATGTGAATTAATATTCGAATAATATTTGTTGTATTGTTGGTTGTTTTTGAGTAAATTATAAAAAATAAAAGTCCAGCTTGGTTTACAAATGGGACAACAGCCTAAAAATTTTTGAGAATCTTTGATTTGATCTTGATTTTTTTCTTGATTTTGATCTTGATTTTTTTGAGAATCTCGTATCTCGTGTCTCGTATTTTGTGGGACTCGGCCCACCCCTGCAGTGTATGTTACATGAAATACGAGACACCCGATTCACAAGATACGAGATTACCGCCACCCCTGGTATGTAAGGACGATTCACTTAGCAACATTTAAACGCTCAGACGAGGGAAAAGAGAAAACATGAGTCAATGCCCCGGTAAATCAGTGGTAGAGTTCCTATGTATGGTTGGCGAAAGTGCCTAACAATAACTACGAGGAGGTCGCATTTTCGAATCCTGCCCGGTCGTTAAACTTTTGTAAAACTGGTACTTTTATTCTGTTGGAGAGATTTTTAATTGAAAATATTTTTCTACATATACTAGGTATGTATTTTCTACCTATATGTAAGTAGAAAATACAAAATTTTTCTATCTACTATATGTAATTCAAGAAAATATATTAGAACTTTTAAAATTCTTACCAAAATAATCAAAACTTTTGTTAAAAGTTTATTCAATCTTTTTAATTTTTCATCGAAATTATTGTTTAAATTGACATATCTAACCATTTTGAATCCACAAATAATTATTATTAAATATGAAAATATTTCAATCAAGGCTATAGGTAATTGTGATACAATATTCATCTAATATTTAAGTTTAAAATTTTTCGGTAAGAGTGCGGGCATAATGGGTGATGAGCAGAGGCATTCATTGGAATAAGACTTTGCTATAATAATTGGGACGAGTACGAATTTTGGTGAGCTTATGAACACTGTGAATGACTGATGGATTGTTATTTGTTGCCTAGCCAGCAGGGATGGTCAGAATTTTGATTTCCTCTTCCGCCGTTTTTTTCTTCAGCTTTCCGAAAATTTGGGGTGATTTCCAGCTTTTGAACCATTTCCGATTTCCGAAAGTTCCAATTTCCGGTACCTCGGCACCTTCATAATTTTCGATTCAACTCTTGCTGGACAGCACGTAGAGTAGTTGTACCATTTAGTAATTAAGTGCTGCCATAGGAAATATAAATATCGAAATGAGGGAATTATTAAAGTGAATCCTAGTGGAAAAACTCTGCTCCCACCGCACATAATTAAAAATTACTTTTTCCATTTTATATTGAATAAATGGCCATGTTTCGTTAAAATTTTCAAAATATTTAATGCCTCCATTAGAATATGGCAAAATAAATAAAATTATATCCAAAACATAAAATAATGACACAAATGAAGCAATCGACACCATAAATAGATAACGGCGAAAATTAATTTTTATATCCCTAATAATTATAGGTCAGATTTTGGCTCTTGTCCAGTTTATGAATCTAATCAAAAGAAAATTGGATTTTTTTATATTTTGAAGTTGTGTTGGGTTCTTTAACATTTATTCATGTTCGGGACCTACGCCCACTGCGTCTGCCCTATCCTTCGAAATTTCGGAAAGTTATAATTTTTTACGAAATTTTTAAAAATTGGCTACAACTTTCAGAAATTTCGAGGGATAGGGCAAGGAACGGGCCCAGACCCAGTTGGCGTAGATCCCGAACATGAATAAATGTTAAAGAACCCAACCCCAACTTCAAAATATAAAGAAAAATCCAATTTTCTTTTGATTGGACGCATAAACTTTCATTGGACGCGCATAAACTGGACAAGAGCCCAGATTTTTAGGTACAACTAAGGTCATTTTTACAAGCTATTTAGATGTCTATTTCAAGACTTTTACAACATAAAAATCCGATCCCTACTGATAATAAACACATTTAATATTTTTATTAGTGATCGGAAATTTTAAAAAACCTTGACTCTTGATTTTGGTTGAAAAGACTTGGCCGAAACTTTTATCAAGGAAAGATCAAGATCAAGAAAGAATCAAGGTCAAGGAAAAATCAAGAAACACCGAATGATACCTTGATTTTGACTCTGGATAGGGGTGTGCAGTTTCGCCTTTCACCTTTCGCCAAAATTTCGCCTTTTTTATTGACTTGCGCTTTTGTTTTTTAAAATCTATTTTGGCACCCCTACTTTGTATCCAGAAAATTTACCTATTCAAAACTAAATATCTATAAATAAATTGAACACACAATCCATGCAAATTTAAATGAGAAATAAATAGCCAAAACACAAAAACAATATGGCATATTATTGGATTAAAATTTTCCTTCATAAACCATAACAAAATTCCATTAGTTAAAATTGTAATTGAATTCCCTTCTGTATCAAGTATATAAAACTGTAAATAATTATAGAATTGAGTTGATAGTTTAAGGCTTATAGTAGCTAAAGATGTGTAAGGGGTAGGGTTATATGACATCAGTTCGGTCAACTGGAAATGGTGCTCGCTACCAGCCGCCTAGCATTTTTCATTAGTTGAGGGAGAAATAGCTAGCTTAATTTAACTTTGTTCTTACAGTGAGGTCCAACTCTATTGGAGAAAACGCAAGCTAAATACAATATTATGTTTCAGTATATTAGAGGATTTCCTTGGATTATGTTGGATTTGGAGGCTCCATTATGTAGGAACCCTATGCCTGGAGCGCCAGCCAGCCCTATGAGTAGAACAAGCAGCCCAGCTTCGTTTTACTATATCAGGGGATTTTACTCGAATCCTCCCATTATCTCTCTTAATCCATCCAAATCCCTTGTTGAATATTAACCTTTGACACGCTCAGAGTCCTGAGCCAACCTGCTCCTAATATCACCGGCTTCGGACCCTTTATTTGAAAAGGTCCGAGCCGTGGAGGAAATTCCGATATCATAAAAGGTCCGAGCCGTTGGTTCTATTTATTTCTAAAAATTCTGATAATTACCGCCTGAACAAATAGTTGACAAGTCAACATTAAAATATCCAAAACACAATTCTGTATCAAAATTCGACTGTGTGTTTTCATTTCTTTTGGCGTTTTAAATAAAATTAAAATAATCAGAATAATATTTAAAGGATACCCAATTAATAAACAAACAAAATAATTAAATTTAAATAAAATATTGAGTAAATCTGGCATTTTTTTAATTAAAAAATTTTTTATTTGAAAGAATTTTCTAATATTTAACAGTTTTGCTGGTAACTAGGCATTTATTTATTAACGTAAAATGAAAATATTTTCGATACATATGTGTATAATCATTGGGTGAAGAGAAAATTACTAATTATAGTATGTTGAAACTTCATATCCAATTAGGCGAAAATGCCAAATTTGTAGCTTCAAACTAAATTTGAAAATGAATATGTATGATTTTGTTTACGACACAAATTTGCTTAAAAATTTTTTTATTTTTGGAATTTTAATTTTTATTTTCGATAATTTTTTAATAAAAATTATTTTAGGTAAGTTCTGTTTATAATTGCCAGTTTACTATATTTATTTACGTAGAATATAATCTCTCGCTCCAAAAAAAAAAGGGAGAAAGAAGCTGGAGAGAAAGCGAGTATTTTTATTTTATTTTTTTCTATTTTTTCTCTCCAGTCCAGACTAGAGACTGGCCGAGACAAGATTTTGATCGAAAATCTCGGTTATCGAGATCAAGGAATCATTTAATACTAAATTTGGAAAGATTCGGAAATCTTAAAGCAAGTTATGGCTTGGCGTCCTTATGGCCGCGCGCCTGTGGTAGACCCATTTTAAATATTGCACGGCGCCAGACAAGATCCGGCATCTAAAAAATCTCAGAAAAAAATATTGAGAATCCTTTATTGTGGACCACCACCGGTGTGCTCTTCCCTTTGGGACACATATATTGAAGACTGATCAACTGGGAACTGATTTATGGGTGAAACAATAAACATTATATAAACATAAGCATGTGAATGGGATATGTCACAGGAAGTAGCGATAAATAATAAAGAAGTGTAATGGTCGGGAAAATCCATTAATACATAATGCTCGCCCAAAAGATCACCTTTGCTCAGGCAATAAACGGATATGACTCACAATAGTTAAAGATCCCGTCTCGGTCGGTTCTCTACTTTTAATTTCTCACACTATGCACTTTCCTTTCAATGAATTTAACTTGTTTTTAAATTTAAAGTCTAAGATTTCTTAATGCTTTATTGCCCTTTTACACAATAAATTATATAAATTTTATTACAAAACATAATTTCGATATTTTCATTATACCCTTTTCAAGTGTTTATTTATATTAATTCGATTTTAAATTAAATTTTATTGTTTTTCTGTTAATCTTAAATAAATTTAGATGGGAACAGGCCAACTTACCGCGACCCCATCTTACTGCAGAGCTATAACTTCGTTCAGAATCGTCGAATCCGGGACGCTCTGGTATGTTTCGATACGCCTCGATAAGCTGAATCGAGCCATACCAAGGCGTCCCGGATTCGACAATTCTGAACGAAGTTATAGCTCTTCAGTAAGATAGGCTCGCGGTAAGTTGGGGTGTACTCATTTTAGATAAAGTATAAAATTTGTTTAGGATGAAATTTGCTAGTTTTTTAATCGTTTCAATCTTCACTTGGATATCATGGATATCTGTTAAATCTATTCCAACTCAAAAAGGGTTAGCTGCTGAAAAAGTTTACACGGCAGGGGATCTCGCTGAAATGTTGAATAATGGGTCAGAATCGTCATCCAGACCTCAAACTCAAAATTATAACGAAACATTAACAATAAAGGACAAAGATGGAAATAAAGGAGAAGAAAAAGTGCCCAACAAACGTGAAAATAATAAAAAAAATTACCAAAAAAATAGAGAAAGGGTGCTTGAATGTAAACGAAAATACCGAGAACAAAATAAAGAAAAGCTAAATGAAAAACATCGAAATTACTATAAAAGGAATAGGAGCGAAAGAATTCAATATAACAAAACTTATTATCAAAAAAATAGGGAGACGGTACGGGAAAATCAGAAAATATATAAACAAAATAATAAAGAAAAAGTGAATGAATACAAGCGAAAATACCGACAAAAAAAGAAAAACATTCAATCTGATAATAATGAAGGAACTTCATTAGTTAATCCACAATCTGACAATTTTAGTAATAAAGGTAAATTACCAATTGTTTGCGGGGAGGAAGGAAATCTTTTTAATCAAGAGGAGGAAGAATGCAATAAAGGTGTGAATGAGCAAAATCAAATCGAAGTGGAAGAGCCAAATAAAATTCTCGAAGACAACACAAATCAAAAAGAATTAAATAAGAAAATTTATTCTTTCGATTTGAACGAGAGACCTTTTGATCTGAATGAGAAACCTGATGATGAAGAATTGGAAAATTATTAAAAAGAACTGATAGATTCCATTCTTAATATTTAACTTTTCGATCTTTTTGCTTGCTCCAGGATTTCGTCGAAATGCGAAAAAGTCTCGGTCGTTTCACTACTTTTAATTTCTCACACTATGCACTTTCCTTTCAATGAATTTAACTTGTTTTTATATTTAAAGTGTAAAATTTCTTAATGCTTTATTGCCCTTTTACACAATAACTTTAATAAATTTTCTTAAAAACATAGTTTCGATATTTTCATTATATCCTTTTCAAATGTACATTTATATTAATTCGATTTTAATTTAAATTTTATTATTTTTCGTTAGCTTTTAAAGAAAACCTTGGTAAGAGCTTGGTAAAAGTTTAAGCCCGGGCAGGCTTCGATCCTGCGACCTCCTGGCAGTTATTGCTAGGCGCTTTCGCTCACCACGTACAGGTGCTCTACCAACTGAGCTTTCACCTTCTCTTTTGTGAGCGTTTTAATACTCGCCAGCTGGATCTTTCTCTTCCTTACACTTTTAAATAAAGTATAAAATTTGTTTAGGATGAAATTTGCTAGTTTTTTAATTGTTTTAATCTTCACTTGGATATCATGGACATCTGTTAAATCTATTAACACCAAAAAAGGGTTAGCTAGACATGCTGAAAAGGATTATGCGACAGAGGATCTGACTAAAACATCAAATGATGGGGCAGAATCATCTGCCAATCCTCAAATTCAAAAATATAAAGAAACATTAACAATAAAGGACACAGATAGAAATAAAGGAAAAGAAAAAGTGCCCAACAAACGTGAAAATAATAAAAAATATTACCAAAAAAATAAAGAAAAGGTAAATGAGTATCAGCGAAATTACTATAAAAGGAATAGAGGCGAAAGAATTCAATATCAGAAGAGTTACTATCATAAAAATCAAGAAACGATTATGAAAAAACACAAAATATATAAACAAAATAATAAAGAAAAAGTGAATGAATACAAGCGAAAATGGAGACAAGAAAAGAAAACGTTCAATCTGATAATAATGAAGGAACTTCATTAGTTAATCCACAGATTGACAATTTTATTAATGAAGGTAAATTACCAATTGTTTGTGAGGAGGAAGGAAATACTCTTTTTAATCAAGGGGAGGAAGACAATAATGGTGAGAATGAGCAAAATCAAATCGAGGTAGAAGAGCCAAATAAGATTCTTGAAGAGGACACAAATCACATAGATCTAAATAAGAAAATTCATCCTTTTGATCTGAACGAGATGCCTGATGATGAAGAATAAGAAACCTGAGGATGAACAATTGGAAAATTATTAAAAAGAAACGATACCTTCCACTCTCTAAATATTTTAATTTAAATCTTCCATCTTTTAATTTGCTCCAGGATTGCGTCAAAATCGAAAATTTCATTCGATTACAACTCGAAAATTGTCCAAAACATAATTAAGACGCAATCCTTTTACGCTATTTCCTCCTACGAGGATATATTTAGTCTCTATAAATGATGCATTTCCTAAATAAATTTAAAAATTATTCTAAAATATGAAAACTTTTCTTCAGATAGGTATTTAAATTAATGGCCACGTCTGTAGTATCGAGGAATCGAGAAGGTTGAAACTGTGAAGAAGTATAGTCCACAAATTGTATGGTCTGAGTATAATCCAAGTCTGTGTATAGTCCACAAATTGTAAGGATGATTCGCATAGAGCATTTAAAACGCTTAGGCGGGAGTTAACGATCTAAACGGATAAAAAGTCGTCTTTCCGGTTAGCCGTCTTCCATTAGTCCCATTAGTCGTCTCCCCGGTAGCTCAGTGGTAAAGCACCTTCATTTGTACGGCACTGTCACCGTTGTCGCTGTTTGAATCCTTCCCGGTGGCTAAACTTTCGCTAAACTCTTTCTAAATTAAAATGATAAGATCAGACCTACACAGCTATGTACACTCTAATTTTATGCATTAGCAATAGAAACATCCAAAATAAATTTTCCTACAAATTGGGTTAATTTTATTAAAGTTTTGTCCTTTGTTTTTAACTAAACTCTCCCAAACAAGTTTTTAATTTAACCCAAAAATGCACAATAAAACCTTTTGTTATTAATCTTTTTTTGTTTTTTTTCTTTGAACTAGTAATTAAAAATAGTCCAAAAAATATTTCTACGCATTTTTGGCCACCCGAAAAAGTTTTGATTGATTAACTTTTTGTTTTTATTTTTTTGCAAATATGGATAGTTTTGCCTTTTTTGAAACAAAAGTAGCAATAAAACAAGTTTTAACGTTTTTTCTTTGAACTTTGGTTAGCCGCACACGAAGAATGTTAAAGTTGGAGGAGGGGGTACGTCTGGGCGCGGGAACGGTTTAAGTGGGAGTTAGAGGTGGCTTATATTTTTCCTAATATTTTTGGCTGTCGATGGCCTGGAGATGTACAATTTTGTGAGAATGTCTTAGAAGATGTTGACTAAGATCTCTAAAAATTTCAGAATTTTTGGTTCAGGATTTTAAGAGTTATGGTCAAAAAATCAAGGAAAACGTCAATTTTTGGCAATTTTTGGGTAAATTTCCCAAAATACATAGCCAAAAATTTTTTTCTTTAAATTAAAATAATAAGTGGATGAACAATATTTCTGTAAAATTTCACGTTTGCATCTAAACAATAGTCGATTTTAATATATTCGCACGCCCAGCGTCACAATACATTAGTGCGCCCAAAAATGACAATCCTTGATAGAAGGAAAAGTTGCTTTACCTATATTTGTAGGACAATAATAAAACGAAAAAAATCCAAAGAGATTAGATTTTGCTCTCTTTGGCTAATTCTGCGATGATTAGAAAAAAGGAATGTTAGAAAGTTTGTCCAAAAATATAAACCTGTGGAGGCAAATTCTCGTTTTTTGTTGGGAAATAAAATCATATAAAAGGGAGAAGATTTGTAGAATTTTCATTATCAAAGATCAAAGCATTTGAATAACAACAAAAAATGAAAGGCTCTCTACTTTGTCTAACTGCTCTGGTAGCACTTGTGGCGCTAACTGATGCTTTCTTATTTGGAGGATTAGGCGGTGGTGGTGGTGGCGGTACTACTTGCTGTTGTTGTGGAGGTGGTGGAAGTGGAGGAGGTGGTGGATGCGGAGGAGGTGGTGGTGGCTGTGGCGGAGGAGGTGGTTGTGGTGGAGGAGGTGGATGCGGAGGTGGAGGAGGCTGCGGCGGTGGTGGAGGTGGATGCGGTGGTGGTGGAGGCGGTGGCTATGGCGGTGGTGGCGGCGGTCCAATTATTATTAACTGCGGTGGTGGAAGAGGAGGCGGTGGAGGAGGTGGTGGTGGATGCGGTGGTGGAGGAGGATGCGGAGGTGGTGGAGGATGTGGTGGTGGCGGAGGATGTGGAGGAGGCGGCGGTGGATGCGGCGGAGGTGGAGGAGGCTGCGGTGGAGGCGGAGGATGCGGTGGTGGATGTGGAGGAGGAGGCGGTGGATGCGGCGGAGGTGGAGGAGGCTGCGGTGGAGGCGGTGGATGCGGCGGAGGTGGAGGAGGCTGCGGTGGAGGCGGAGGATGCGGTGGTGGATGTGGAGGAGGCGGCGGTGGATGCGGCGGAGGTGGAGGAGGCTGCGGTGGAGGCGGAGGATGCGGTGGTGGATGTGGAGGAGGCGGCGGCGGATGTGGAGGTGGTGGAGGAGGCTGTGGTGGAGGTGGAGGATGCGGTGGCGGATGTGGAGGAGGCGGCGGTGGATGTGGAGGTGGTGGTGGAGGCTGCGGAGGCGGTGGTGGCTGTGGAGGTGGAGGAGGATGCGGCGGAGGTGGTGGTGGATGCGGAGGTGGCGGCGGAGGATGCGGTACCCTTTATTAAATCATTTCTTAATTATCTAAAATATTCAGGTTGCGGAAGAAGAAAACGCTTGGCCCTCTTCCAAAGAACAGTTGCAAAATTGTCTAAAGCATAATCAAATAACATCATTTGAAGACATTGCCATAATAGACAACTTATTTTTGCTCCTTATTCATTTTGTTGTTTTCCCTTTTTTAAAGCCTTATAGTTATTAGATATATATAGTTTTATATGTTAATAGTCCTTTAGTGATCATCAATTGTGCTATAATTTTTAGTTTTGTATTTTAGCCGCAATTTTAACCAAGAAAGAATAAAAATTCTAATTACATTTTTATTGTTTGCGGGAAATATAAGGGAAACTAGTATCTTTTAGCGGAACCTACTTGCAGAACCATTATCGATAGTTTTGACTATTTCTCGTTTAAATTCCAAGGATAGTATTAGCAAAACCCTTTATTTTGTAGACTTAATTAAATCGACTTAGGTATTTTAGAGTTGGAGTCAGTTAAGTGTAAGCTACTTTGATCGGGTTTAACCTTCATCACTTCCTATGTTTTCACATTTATCGGGTTGTAGCTTTTGTAGGTAGGATTAGACCGTACTGTCAAGTTGGAAAAGGGCTTTCGAATGATATAAGATTCATTCGGATCCTATAGATGAAAAACTGTTATAGCCTATTAAATGGATAACACACCAGTCCGGTCTACCGAAGCTGCTGGTTCGCACCCAGCTTTCGAATAACCTTTTGCACTAGCTAAAGGAGAGAAATAGCTATAGCCCAGCTGCTTTACTAACCTTTTTACCGGATTAAAATAACCTATTAAAATAATCCTTAACCTTCAGTTTATTTTATTTAGAAAGATTATTCAACTTTTTGTTACTCTCATTCTTTAATAATTTTTAGTTATTAAACTCACTTGAAATTTTTTTCGTTTTCATCGGATTTATTTTCTATAATTATCCTTTAGCGAATTTTTCTTTTCGTTCTTCTAAACAAAAATACAATTACAATACAAATTATTTCCACAGCTATCGTTTTCTATGATAGAGTTTTATTGAGGAAACCAGAAATTCGGCGACGTTTAGACGCCGTTATGTTTGGGCGCACTCTTTTGTATTTCCATAAATAGAGGGCTTAGGGGCTTGAAATTTTTTTCTTAATATTTTTCATAGTGTTAACTATCTTGTCTAAAAATTTCAGAATTTTTGGTTTTGTAGTTCCAGAGTTATGGTCGAAGAAGTCAAACAAACACTGCTTTATTCAAAGTAAAATCAGTTCCTTCGACCATATCTTCTGCAATACTTGATAAAAAATTTTGAAATTTTTAGAGAGCTTAGATAACTCTATTAGAGATGTTCTTGCAAAATTTTAGTTCTCTTTGAGAAATTTTACTTCTCTAATAATTCATTTGTCTGTTTTAGAAATACGAGTGTTTTTGCGCCCAGACATTGTTGCGCCCAGACATACTAGGCTTAAAGCAGTGAGAGGATGATTAGGACTAAAAATAAAACTGAAAAAAGGAAAGGAGATGCTAGTTTTGTGTTAAACAGTCTACAATTATTAAAATAATACTGCTGTCAAGTATAGACGGAAACCGAAAAAAGGTGAATTAATAGAGGGTAAATTGAGCCGAAAGATGAAAACTTGAATATCACTGGAGGTGAATTAATAATAGAACGGTGGACTCCCTCCTGTGAGGATAGAGACAAGTTGAAAACCAAAACCTTAACATTTTCTCTCTAAAATATATTTTTGGTTTATTCACCTCTTAAATAAGCAATAATAAAGATTGGCTGTTTTTAGTGAAGTCTTTCCAGGGGAATTTCTTGGGATTTTCACTATTCTATCCCTTAACCTTAGCTGCTTATTGTACTTGATCGGATTGCCAGTCCAAAATTCCCTAGAAAAAATAATAAGAGAAAATACAGTAACTTCTCCATAGTGAACTCCCTTTATAGTGAACTCCCTTTAGCAGAACTCCTTTAAGGTCCGAACCAAAATGGGCTCCCTATAGTACAACTCTCCCTATAAGGAACTCTTTCGAGTTCCAACCTGATGAATCTCCGCTCTCCCTTCTTGATTTTTCTCGATTTAGCAATGAACTTCCCCAATTCTTTCTTCTACCTTTTTTTACTAATTCTTCTGCCTTTATATTCAAACGGATTTTTCTTTGGTGGTTATGGAGGTGGAGGTGGTGGTTGTTCTTCTTGTTCTTCTTGCTGTAGTAGTTGTTGTACTACGACCTGTACTACTAGTTGTGTAAGCTGTTGTGTAAGTCTTAATATTGTAAGATCGGCAATTTCCTCCCAGCCATTCTAAGAAACACAAAAATCAACACGACCCATCAGTAGTTCGATTGTTGAGCGTTTATATCCTTTGCATAGGAGAGCTTTCAGAATCAAGTCTCATACAATCTTTTGCCATTTTCTGGAATGGGTTTTACCGCTTTACTTTATACACCAGGGAGGGATCTATTCCTTCTCCCATCTTTGGGCTGTTCCCCCGCTGCCCTTTATGATAGGAAAAAGCTAAAAGTGAGGTGCATTTAGTACATATAAAAGATTATTAAAATATAATTATTTTCAGCCACCACCCCCCTGCTGTTGTCGTAAGTTTATATATGCATTGTCTCTTACAAATTTTTATTTAAGCACCCCCACCTTGTTGTTGTTCTTCTAGTTGTTGTACAACAACAACTAGTTGCTGTACCAGTACAATTTCTTCTTGTGGTGGCGGCTGTGGAGGGTGTGGGTGTGGAGGTTGTGGTGGGGGCTATGGCTATGGAAGACGTAAACGAGCTATTAAGCGAAGGAGGAAGTGTTATATTTTGGTACAATAAAAAATATTAAATGATTTGAATGATATACAGTAACTAAAGTGAATACTCAAAGCATACCCTCTCTCTAATACATATATAGCACGGTACTGAGTCCCGGACCCTATAACTTATGAAGGGATGGTCACTTTTTTGCTCTTGGTACCATTGGATAGGGCACCAAACAATCGAAAATTTTGATTTTTTGGTTATTGTAGTCCATCTAATGCTCTATCTAATGGTACCAAAATCATTTAAAATTAACAACCGTACTTGAGCTATAGGGTCGGGACTTAGTTGAACTGCTCTCTAATAGCAACCTTCTGTTCCGCTTACAGATTTTATTTAGTTTTAAACAGATAAATGCGTCTTACAAAATAAAATAAAAATAAATTTTATTCTTTTCCTCGTCTTATAAAAGAGTTTCAGATCCAACAAAATATTTTCAAAAAAAATTTTGTTAAAAAACTAAAATTTAGGGAATAATAGAGAGCGAGCTGGATCCAGACCTTGATTTTTCCTGCATCCAGAGTCCAGATCAAGGCATTTTTCAGAGTTCCTTGATTTTTCCTTGACTCAAGGTCAAGAATCTGGTCAAGGTATCCAACCGAAATCAAGGTCAAGGATCAAGGTTTTTTTGAAAATCTCGCTCTCTAGTGAATAATAATTCTACTAAAATTTTATTTCCAAGAAAGATTTAAATTTTTAAAATAAATTTCCGAACTCATATTCATATTAATTTTGACGAAATTCTTTTTAATTTCATTCTGTTTCTTCAAAAAATAGCTATAGACAATCAATGCTATTATGGCGTGAATAAGGAGTAACTTAAATTAGAAATAATTATATTTTGTTTTTAATTTGTAATCTCCAAAAGGTGCTTAATATATCTTGTTGGGAGGGGGGGCTAGACAAGGACCTTCCCAGACAGACATTTAGGGGTTCTTATATAAGGACAGCTTATCATGACGGATATTCTCGAAAAGCCTATGCCCTTGCATTCATTAAAATCAGAGGTGGGTCGGAATTCCGACTTTCGAGTTCCGACCTCGGACTGTTCCAGCCCACCTCTGATCAAAATATAAAGTTTGATTTCTAAATTTTTTTTATTTTTTAAATCCTAAAATGTCTGTCTCATATGTCCGTCATTATAAGCCTTTCCTGATATGCATATAGTTTATCCAGAAATGTCCATCCTTTTTTCGCGACCTATATCTAGGTCCACAGGCGTTTCCGATATGGAAGAGTTTGGCACCATTCGACTCAGATTGCCGAGATGTTGTTATTATACCGGCCATACTCAGTACTATTGGTAATATGTATTTAAGTTTAGAGTTTCCATTTTTTCCTTCCCAAGTTTTTCTGTATATAATGTACAGAATGGTCAGACTTCCTTTGTTCCATCTCTTTTGCCATCCAAATTTTTATTTCTTCCATCCCAATGAAAATAATCACTTTTTTATATTCAAAATTTTGAAAGGATAATGTCTGACCATTCTGTACATATATAGGAAAAAATTTTGAAAGGAAAAAAGTCTTTAAAATTAAATATTGCCCTACCATTTTCTGGAATTTTTATACGTTATTAATGATTTTAAAATTATTTACTAGAGTTATGCCTTCATACGACCTTACATAAACAAGTTGGCCATATTCTTCACGTTTATAGCGTACAAAGTTTATTAGAATACTATATAATCCAAAAACAAATGTATAGAAAAAATCAAGAGGGAAAATTATTTTCATTAAAAGGAGATTTTGTTTGGATTGATAGCTTTTGCTTAGACTGTAGTTTGTCGTTGAGTTGAAACTTTTAAATTTTTTAAATGATTTATTTGTAAATGTGGTATTTTTGTACCCCCACCCCCCCTCTCCCCCCACCCCATTTTTATTTTTCTTCCCCTTTTACCATAGAAAGTACAAATGGGTCAAGGTAACATATGTACTACATACTGTTAAGGAATTATGGCAATCTATGTCGATAAGTACCCAGCTCTGTTTTTAGAACTAGAGATGGGACCAAACAAATATTTGAAGTCTGAAAATCTTTGACCAAATATTTGTTTGGCCACTTTTGGAAAAATCAAATTTTTTCAAATATCAAACAACTCTGATTAAGTGTAGCTCTCTATATCCATAAAATATTTTGGTAATATAGTAAACGTACTCCACAAAAAGCACATAAGAAATATAAGTACTGATAAATTCAGAGGATGATAACTCACAACCTAGATCTTGACCTATGTGTACATTTTTTGGAAGAATGACAAAGGAGAGATGAATAAAATTGGGGGGAGGGGGGATAACACACAAGGGTACCCTAAATTTACTTACAAATTTAATTTTATTTTTTGATTCCGACGAATTAAATAATAATCAACTATAGCTATATTTATTACCAAAAACAAGGAAAAATCGTGTAGGTATATAATCATTTGGGAATTATAACTAGTTGTTAGTATTAGATAAACCATTGGATGGCTAAATGTGTCAGTATCCATTTGTGATGTTATATAGAGGTAAAGACCCAACAATAGATTTAATAACCACTAAAATTTTGTTAATAATAAAATTTAAGATAAATTCTACCACGATAATTGTACTAATAACCCCAAAAAATTTCCCTTGATTTTCATAAATTTTGACGTATACTGTAGCCAAAACACGTTCAATCGTTATAGCAAGGTGAAATAAAGGAGAGCCAAAACAGTAGAAAAAGGCTGGAATTCGTATCAAATAGACTAGCCAGACTGGGGTTAAGCAATCACAGGGGGTTGAATGTGTGAATAGAACAACCTAAAATTATCAGCGTCGATTAAAAAGTTGGGAAGTCGAAGGTATCGCAGGCCTAAGGTACTGCCGAGCTATAACCTCGTCCAAAATTGTCGATCCTGAGCTGCCCTATTATGGTTTTATGCGACTCGACGAGCTGTATCGAACCATACCGGCCGTCCCGAATTCGACAATTCTGAACCAAGTTATAGTTCGGCGGTACCTGGGGCCTGCGATGTCTTAGGGTGCTCTCTTAAAAAGTAAACTAACAAAATTTACAACAGCTTCAAGTATAAATGACAGTACATAAATTGCATAAAGGAAGAATACATTGCCGATTAGTATCTTTGAAAATTGTAAATTTTAAATATCAGAGACTTTAATTTGATACACCGTATCTCCTCTAAAATAATACCCGAGGCTTATTCTAGTTGGGGAGGGGGTACTTTAGAACTTATCTCGTGTAGATTCCCAGCCCAGAGACGACAGGGAATTCCCAGTTTTCGAGAATCTGGGTCCTTATTGAGTTAAAGCAGATAAAATAAGGGCATTTCTGCATCTTCTCTCTCGGACCAACTTTTTTTCTGGCTTTTCTCCTTCCCCTAGAACTAAAATTCAGTTTTTGGGTTTCTCCTTTTTCTCCATCGAATCCTACAAGTGCTTAGAATTAGGGTTGTCTGGTTCTGGACCGAACCGAACCAAAGAACTGAAGATTCGGTTCAATTTCGGATATCCGAAGATTTTCCGGGAACCGACAACCCCTCTTAGTATAATCAAACTCCATCTTACAATTAAATTTGTGTGTAATTTGACCGATTTTGTTTTGTAGAACCAAATAATTTGTAAAAGTAGTACAATAACAATTATACTTAAAATCGTTGTTAATATACGTATAATATTATATTTTGTGTCGAGTACTACTTCTTCAGCGGCAGTACATTGGGTTATATTCATTTTTTAATTCTGAAATTTTCGTTGATGATTTTTAATATTTTTTGTGTCCGCACTTGCAGTAAGAACACAAATGAATAAACATAACTAAGATTGTCGTTTCTGGACCGAAATGAAGATTCGATGAATTTTCGGTTCGGATATCCGATGAATTTCCAGGAACCGACACCCCTAAACCCAACCCATCATCAGGTTGGATAGTGGCACTGTCGATTGTGCTTCGGTCCGGAGGTGGGTCGGAAATGACAAGGGTGCCGGAAATCGGAATGGCTCAAAAGTCGGAAATCGAATTCCGACCCACCTCTGCTTCGGTCTGGGCCCTTTCCAAGATGGTTCTATTCCATTTCCCATCTAATAAATTTTCCACAGCATGAAACTAATATACAATATTAAATAAAAAAATAAAAATTGAAACATTAAAATTTTTATTCTTTCTTTTTTACGTGTCTTAGTAACTACTAGGTTTGAGTAACATGAAATGTCCTTTATAAAATGCGTATCCCCTCAAAATCTCTATTCCTTAAAATCTCTACTGGGCTAAAATGCCTTATAATCTCTACACAGCTAAAATTCACTAAAATCTCTACTCGGCTAAAAATGATTAAAATAACTATTCCTTAAAATCTCTATTCCTCATAATCTCTACACGAGTAAAATGCCTTAAAATCTCTACAAGGCTCAAAAATAGGCAAAATATCTATTTTTATTATGAAGCCTTTTGAGTGCCAACGTTAAGTGCGGGAACGTTGTTCTGATTTCTGGATTATCTTTTGATCTGATTTCTGGATTATCTTTTGCTTGTATAGTTTTTGACGCTGCGGATGAACCCAGGCATGTCCAGCGGAACGACAGCAGCCGCTTCGATACGATCACCGCAAGGAAAATGAATACGACCGCAGCGAAGCAGTCGTGTCTTATATTTTCGATATTTAAGGCGGATACAGGCGGATATGGCAGCCATTTTTAAACTAATTGTACCCGTATCCATTAACAAGTCTGGTTTTTCCAGAGAAAGATTCAGATGGTACACTTTTGTTGAGACTCAACCGTCCATTTGCGCGGTGTAGAGATTTTAATTATTTTTACCCCAGTAGAGATTTTAAGGAATAGTTATTTTAAGGAATAGAGATTTTAAGCATTTTTAGCCTAGTAGAGATTTTAAGGAATAGCGATTTTAAGGAATAGAGATTTTGTATGGGAGCCATAAAATGTTTCTAGATGGCAATTTAAATCGGGGGAAATAAAATTAAAAATCTTTTCTAAGAGGAAAAATTTAAAGTTACTAAAATTAAATTACATGTTTATAAATTAAATTATTAAAATTTAATTTTAGATTACATCGTTACTAAGCAATTCTTACAGAACACAAAAAAACTACAAAATTCCACATCTGTTCATGTGTATATCGAAGGCTGACCAAGAAATGAATAAGTCGGAGACTTTAAAAGGGATGGAATATTTAAGAGAGTTAAAAAAACTTTTACAAAATTTTTTGGCTTAAAACATCCGGATAAATACCTTAGAATTAATAAAAGACTAAAATTGTGTTAAAATAAATTAATTTCCCCTATCAGGATTCGAACCTGGGGGGATAAAATTAAATTCAAGAACGCTACCACTACACTACACTACCAATCCTCTTATCCTTCTTGCTCCTCAAATAACCCACTGAAATCCTTCAAACCCTTAAATCGGTATATGTCTGGAGGGATTAAGGATCAATTTGCAGTAGACCGACTACAATTTGTGATTGAAATTGAATTACGGCTTAAGTCACTAACGAAAATTTTAACAATTTTGGAGGCCGAGGAGCCAGCTTTATCCTTTTTTAGTGCCGCAGACGAAAATTTTTGAATTTTCAGTTGGCCAATGGTCAAAAATCTGTCTTTTTATAAGAAATATACAAGAAAAATGGGGAAATCCCAGTACAGAAAAATCGGTACTATAGTGGTACCTTGGAAGTTGATCGATACCGTACCAATACCATTAATACCAAAATTACCGAGTCTGTCCTATCAGTAGTACAAAATAGTGCCAAACTGTGCCGTACACTGGTCTAAGGCCTTAACATTTTCGAATATTTTAGATAAAAATAATTTTCTATTGAATTTGACTAATAAAAATATTACAGATTTAATAAATAAAAGTACTTAAATATTTTTTAAAAAATGTTTGATTAGCTTGACTAATTGTTTTAGTGAGAGAGAGACTGCGCATTAATTGGGAAAAATAAAATATATTTATTTTATTTAGAGACTTTTTCCTTTTTTCCTTATTTTTACTAAATAAGCAGCTAAATATAGACTTTAAATTTTAAATTAATTTTTATTCTTTATATTTTTTTGAAATGTTTATTGTTTTGTTTAATGTATTCAAATAATGTTGGTTATAGAAAAAGTGTTTCGGAAACTGATTCTTGTAAGATGGATTTTTTAGAGGAAATGGGGGACGTCTAGATTAGAGTTGTTTGGCGTTGGCTCCCCCCCCCCCCCCCAGTGTTGGTTTTAAGGGGGAAGTCTAAATTGGGGTTGTTGAGGTTCCCGGTACCCCAGTTTTAGATGTGGCTAGGGTTGCCCTTTTAGTCGAGCCGACGTTCGAGTTAATTTTAGGCTCATTTTTATGCCCAACTCGATCCTTCGGACCGGACCGGGCCGGCAACCCTATTTATGGCTGTTTTTTGATTATCTGAGTCTCGGTTTTGGTTAACCGACTGTCAAACAACCCTAGTCTTAAATTCATTCGCCCTTATTATCTTAGAAAGTTACCTATGGCACGTTTGAACACACCTAATCTTCAATCCTTTTCCTTGTGGCATCCAATCAGTCAGCTTAATTGAAATATTCGAGAAGGGAGAGGTCTATGTCCCTGTCTCTTATTTATTCGAACCCCTGCTTTCTTAATCTTTAAAATTTCAACAAAATTTTTTAGCAAGCGAAACCTCCTCAAATACAAGTTCCAATTTATCATCCGTAGTGTTAGCTAGACAACAAGAATTACCCTTTTCTTATGATACTGAAACTGGTGCTGGACCATCAATGGCACAGGCTGATTGGAATAATAATAATAATCGTTTCGAGTTTGTTTTTTAACGAGAAAAAAATATTTTTGGGCCAATAATCCTTTGCAAAGGGCGTTGATTTTTTGGGTGTTGATATTTTGGATTGTCTAATATTTATTAATCCACGTAAATCCATTGATCTGTCTCTTATGAAATTAATAAAATGGACAATAAAAAATCACAAAAAAAATTGTTAAGATTTAAAAAAAATTTTCAAAAATTTCTCAAGAAATTTTGGCTCTGGTCTAATTAATGAGTCCAATGAGAAGTTACGAGTCCAATGAAAAATTATGAGTATATCTGTCAATCAAGGGATCAAGAGGATTTTCTACTGATATTCCGACATCTCTTCAAATATCCTGATATTCTTTAATCCATCGACATCCCCCTTTAATCCCTTCAAATCAAACGATCTCCTTCTTAATCCCGCCAAATCCATCATTATCCCCTTAATCTCTTCAGATCCCTTATTAAACTTGTAAAGAAAAAAACTGTTGATCAAAATGTTTTATGTTTTCGGGGTCATATGGCTCTGTAGGTCTTTAGGGTTGGACCCTTTAAGATTGATCATAAAATTTTGATTGGACGCATAAATACATAGATCAGCGCCTAAATTTTTGTAATTTTCAAAATTTTCTAAAAATTTTTCAAAAAAATTTTTTTCAGTAGAAATAGAGAAGCTACAGTCTTTCCAGTATTCACCCCAGCCCCTCGCCAACCCCACCAATCTATGGGTGGAGGTGGTGGTGTTAATAGCCACCCTGTTGGGAGTGGAATACGCCATCAACAACCACGGCAAAACGAATCTTTACACCACCAAGTAACTTTCTCTGAAGCTCCAAATTATAAAATAATTTATTTGGTTGCTTTAATTATTGTTACTTTATTGTTAATTTCTTTAATTGTTATCATTGTTGTTTTGTTGGCTACAAAGAGAGGTAGACTTAATTTAAATTTATTTTTGCTGCTTGATCGGACTGTAAAATGTAGCCAGCCTTCGCCGAAATTGGGTCGGTTAATCAAAATTTTTTTCGGATCGGGAATAAAGTTCGGGCGAAACACGTCACTACTTAACAACACGTGACTTGTATATCACTAAAACTCTAATCACCAAAATCACTTAAAAAATCATCAGCTCAATAAAATCTCTGACCATAATATTTATTAGAGTCATGCCTGATACGATATTTCTCGATATTCCTTTCTATATATATCGAAAAAATACCGACCGTCCCCTCCGTCCGGGCTCCACAATTTATGAGGATCAGCGCTAAATCCTCCTCCCAAAAATTAACCTAATAAAAATCATAATTATTGAAGATAGAATTTAATATACTTAAATAAAAGTTTAATTCATTTTTTATATATTATGTAGAAAAATATAGTTAATTGAAATTATTAAGGCTAAAGTTCAAAAGATATTTTTATTCAAGTAAAAAATATTTTGCGACCATTTTTTAAATAAACTCATTATATGATACCTTCTATTTAACAAACTTTCATTATTAGGTCCTATTTTCACCCCCATGAGGGTATCTTATAGCGGTGATGTAACTTTTGCGGCTCGTAAACTTGCGGCTCAGACATTTGCGGCCCAAGTACTTGCGGCTATGAAATTTTCGGCGCAGACATTTGCGGCTATCAACTTAAGGACCAGACACTTGCGCAAGTGTCGGGACCGCAAATGTCTGAACCGCAAGAGTACGGGCCGAAAAGTCGGTCAATCCTTATAGCAAGGTCCTACTGTACTTCTTGCTGTATATTAATTTCAATTTTTCCAGTATTCTTCTACGACCCAGCCCATCCCCCAAAAAATGTAGATAATTCTTCCCCAACAACAATCCGTTTACCTTCACAAATGCCACCATCACAACCATCACCCCAACAACCTTCTCAACCATCCCATTTTATTACAAAAACATTTGAATGTGAATTATTTATACTAGATCAGGCTAATAAAGCTTATGAAAATGAAAATAGTTTTGAATATTTTCAAGCTAAAACTATACTTTTAAATGCTGTAAGAGTGTTAGAAATTTGAAAAAAAATTTATTTTTAAGCTTGCCAATACTTTTGAAGGTTCTTCTCTACGCGATATGAATCCAACCATTTCTTTGGAAAGATTGGAGAATAGGTAGGGAATATAGTTAATTAGTAGGTCCCAAAAACTAGTAAAAGACTGGACTTGATCTGGGAAGGTCTCCGATTTTATTTTTAATTTATTTGGCTAGGTTGGGAGGCCGCTTTACAATTAGTGTATTTGGGATTAGGGTTGCCGGCCCGTTTCGGCTCAGTTCGAAACATAGAATCGGGCTCGATTTTTGGCTCGAAAAAGACTCGAACAGCCCAGTTCGAAAAAAAGAGGCCTGAAAAATGACTAGAACGTCGGCCCGATTCGAACACTGCAACCCTATTGGGGGAGGTTGTAGTTTGGGATGGGACCTTCGGTGTTTAGGTACTTATAAAGTCTAATCAGGGAAGCGTAAAGTTGCAGGGATTAAAGCTGATAGTGTTCAAAAAATCTTCTTTTACATAACCGTAGTCCGCTGGCTGATTTTAAAAATCCGCAACTCGTCATTTTTATTTTTTACATCCGAAAATACATATGATAGATCAAGGAATTCCAATGATAAAAAATTCAAGGATAAAGATAAAATAAAAATCCAATCCAATTCAGTCTAAGGGACGGAGACAGGAAATTTTTAAAAAAAAAAGTCAACTCCATCACTTTTGGGGACTGGTAACAACCATATGGAGTGCTAACAGGAGTTTCCTCAAAAAAGTCTCGATTCCTATACTTTCCCCCCCCCCCCATTTTCTTTTTAATTTAATTTTTCTTTTCAAAATTTTCAGTGATTCTGATTTCCGAATTGTTTTCTCACTAAGTATAATTGTTTTGGAACAAAATAAATCAGTTGGAGAATTATCAATTCGTAATTTATTACTTAGCCAAATTGGTGTACTAGAAGGATTAATTAATCAAACAAATATAGACAGAAATAGAGTTGTAGTTAAAGAAATTAATTGAATTCTTTTTAAGACTTTTTTCTACTTTTTATTAAATTTATTTATTAAATTTATATAGTACAACTGTTTGTTTGATTCCGAATCGGGGATATGGCCGGGTGCCAGAAACCTGATAGACGAAACAAAGAATTTTTTTCGACATCAAATAAATCAAATAAAATTTTGAGAAGCGTCTCCGGTTTTTTTTTTCTCGACCCAGCCCCATCCCTGGTTTTTGATTATTCTCAAATTTCATTTATGGACTAAAAATAGCCTAGGGATGGCCGAAAAATTATTTTTATTTCGACAGTCCCTCTGGACATTCAAAGATTTTCTAAGAACCAACAACCTCGTGTTATACAATATTAAGTTCATGTTTACTAAAATGGTTGGCTTGAAATACCGAGTTGGCAATTGAATATGTAATTGATCAAAATATTTGATCCGCGGCTCGAAAATTGCCTTTAAACCGTAAACAGCGATTCTAATTATTTTTAATTATTAGTTTATTTTACAATAAAAATAGTAGGGTTCAGCGGTATCGGGATCCCGACCGGTATCGGGCGGTATTATACCGGTCTCTTTGAATACCGATACCGATTTTACTGATACCGCTACCGAATGATAAATCCCGATACCGATTTTGCTGATACCGATACCGAGGCCGGTATCGGTATCGGTATCGGGATTAGCATTCGGATACCGATGAATATCGGTATTTTCTAACACCCCTAAGGATCAATTTTTTATTTGTTTTATGGACTAAATTAGCCACATGGCCTTCTAAAATTTTCAAAATTTTTGCCTGCGGCGCTGAAAATTGAAGAAATCTGACTTCTTAGTCTATAAAAATTTTCAAAATTTTTGCCTGCCGCGCTGAAAAAGTGAATTTTTTTACCTACGGCCTTCTAAAATTCTCAAAAATTTCGCCTGCGGCGCTGAAATGGGAAAAAGCTAGGCCTTCTGGCCTTAAAATTTTCGAAATTTTCGATTTTGGCGCCTTCGGTAAATTAAATTTTGGCTTAAGAGTAAAATTATGTTTATTAATAAAACACAGGTGTTTTGTTAATGAACGAAGCCTAATGAAAAAAAGTTTTATCCAGGTCTGGTCCCCATATTGAGGGATATCATTTGATTATCGGGGGTATCCCTAGTACTCCCAAAAGATTACTGATATCCCACTTAATCCCCAAGTTGATTTGAGGTATAAAGTTGAATTTGGTGTATACCCGTGGATGAAGATGATATCGGAGGATTAAAGTGGATATCGATGGATTTGGAAGGTTTTCTATTGGTTCCTGAGATGTTTTTGTCTCGAGAATGGCTCTATAGTGCTAATTTATCATTTTACTACAGATTAATACCTTTTTCAAAATGAGGAATTAATTTATTCATTAAAGAATTTGTTTATTTTTTTCGCATTAAAATTTTTAAGGAAATACCGATACCGATTTTTCAATCCCGATCCCGAGTCGGTATCGGTACCGGTATCGGTATCATTAACTCAAATCCCGATACCGATTTAGGCTAATCCCGATCCCGAGTCGGTACCGGTATCGGGATCGGTATCATCAATCCGAAATACCGATACCGGTTTTTTCTCGGAATACCGGTACCGCTGAACCCTAAAAAATAGTAACACAGTTAATAGAAATACAAAAACTTCGTATAGTATGTATAGGAACAAGTGTTAGAAGAAATTTTGTCAAGATTTCCTTTCTAAAAATTTCAATACGCCGAGCTGTGTCAAACGACACAAAAATTAGCTTCAAGACTCACCTATGGGCCGATATATAGGTCCCCAAAAATCGAAAACCCATTTTGGGGTAACAAATTCGAATATACAAATGTTAGTTTTGGGGAAAATTTTGGTGAATTTTCGGGGACCGATTGTCTCTTAAAATTTTTTAATTAAAAAAAAATCCTGACTTTTCAAAAAATATTACTTATTATAAAAGTGTTTCCCTTTCACCCTCTTTTATTTTTATTGAAGCAATATCTGTTCTACTTATAATTCTTTCATTCGTTCGAAAGGTTACATAAGTATACAAAATTGACCCAAAAACAGATATATTAATTCCAATAAAATTATTCCAAGTAAATATATAATCTCCGCTGCTAATCATTCCAATATATGTTACAAACATATTCTTTAATTTAAAAAAAATTAAGAGAAAAAATTAGTCCGCAAAAAATTTTTGCGGACAAAATTTGCGGATTTAAAATTTTTTTATTCTTTATATTTTTAGTAGAGTAAGGCATGAGATGGGAACCTGTAAGAGAGTTTCCGAAATACCGTCCAATTATTCTATAATAAAATTTCAGCAACAAACGGGATTACCCTTGGATTAACGGGGATTAATCCTGCAAGACTGACCCATTCAAATTTATAAAAAAAATATCTCGTTGAATCCTGATTTTTAGTCTGTAGAGAACCCTTCTTAAGATCAGCAACTCAAAACTAAAAAGCATTCTTGCTCTCAAAAATTCCAAAAAAAAATATTTTTTGAAACCTTTACCTAGCGACTGTCTAAAAATGTTGGAAAGAGAAGGTCCTCCCGTTAAATTAAATTTAAAATTAAAAATAAAAAAAAATTAACTTTTATCGGCCCAACACAAACAGTAGTTAATGCAGAATTGTGTGATGTACACAGAACAACAGAATAATTTAATAATAAACCTCCAATACAAGAAAGGAGTAAAAAGAGTAAAACGGGAATTGTTAAATAGCCTTGATCGATATATATCCTCAACTAAAAATTTAAAAAAAAAATTTTTAAGAAAGTTTACAAAATTTGCGGACAAAATTTGCGGACTTTTAAAATTACTTTTTCCTATTTACTTTATTTTTGTACTTAAAAACCGTGAAAATGAGTTTAAAAAAATTTTTTGCGGACAAAAAATTTGTCCGCAAATTTTGTCCGCAAAAATTTTTGAAAAATTTTTTTATTTTCTTCGCCAAACTAAGTTTTAGTAACCTAAAATTCTATCTAAAAAATTAAAAAACCTTTTCAGTTTCTTCATTATTTAAAAGAATAAAACCAATTAAAGGCAACAACATAAATAATGAATTGTAGAAGAGTAATCCGTTCTTACCTAATTCCTAAAATTAAAAAATTTCGTTGAATTCTAAATTTATTTTTTAATAAAATTTTTAAAAGAATTTAAATTGGCATTTTTAATTTTTCGATTTTTAAATAAAATTTAAATTCAACAAATTTCAAAATTAATATTTAAAAAAATAACCAGCCTTGGAGTTCAATTTCTTCTTCATATAAACACCTAAAATTAGATGTTAAAAAAATTAAATAAAATTTTTAAAAAACCGTTTAGAGCCGTTGCAAAATTATTAAAACAAATAAGTAAATAACCAAGTGAATCAAATGATAGATCAAACCTAAAAAAGAAAAAAATTTTTAATTAAGAGAATGTTAGCGGAATATTTGATTTATATCAGGACTAGAGGTCGGCAAAATCGTATTCCAGGGATCCCGTAACGGGATTTTTTTCAAAAAATTTTACGGGACAGGATCCCGCGGGATTTATTCCGTAAATCCTGATAATCCCGTTCGTCGCTAAAAATACGAGATTTCGGAACAGAACCCCGTAAAATCCCGTACGGTATCTGTCCCGTGCCGAGTTTTAATCAATTTAATCAAAAAAAAATTTTTTTGTGAGAATTCTTAACGAAAATTTTTAAAATCGAAAAAAAATTTTTTTCTTACATTGCTGCTATTGCTGAACCAAAAATCATCAAAAAGACACTAAATTTAACACCAAAAGTAGGTATTATTCTGTAAAAATAAGGGAAATTGACAAAAAATTAAATTTAGCAAAAAATACCCAAGAATAAAATATTCAAAAAGCATTGTTAAAAATATAGAAAACCGTCTTAGAACTGTAAACATTGGTAAACTGATAATTTTGGTTCCGCCTAGACCGGCAATTAAATTAACTGAAAAAATAAAAAAGAAAATTTTTTTGTAAATTTGAGGGAGTGATAGTTAAAGTTTATAGGGGAGAGGAACGGTTTCTGGACTAAAACTCCGAAAATCCGGATTTTATCATTAAAATACTCCTTTCCAGGATACCAGCAAGAAAAAAAAAATTTTGAAAGACAAAAACTTTAATTTTATAATTAAATAAACGTGACCGTTGGGCCTCACGAATTAGCGTGAGACGCGGTCGGCCAAAGAGAAAAATAAGGAAAGGAACGGAGACAACTCTTCCAAGGCTTTCGAAAGCCAAAGTTAACTCTTTGGCATTTCCCCATCCTCCAATTTATTCCGGTAAGAAGAGATGGAATAAAATCTTAAATATGACACAAAGGACAGTTTGAAAATTTTAGAGCCATTTTATCCCACATTTCTGTTTTATTCTCATTTCTTATAAAAACCCTCGGCTCTTGCCCAATTTATGCGCCCACTCAGGCCCGTAGCCAGGATTTTTCCCCTACTCCCCCCCCCCCAGCTACAAGCCTGTGGTCACTAAAAAGTTTATTCTAGACTTATCGTCATTGATTGGACGATAAAAATGTAATTGGGCGTATAAACTGGAGAAGAGCCAAACCCTCTAACCAAAATTATTTAAAAAAACCTGCAAAGAAAATAGGCAACGGAAATATTTTTTCTGGGATGGAAACATCCATTTTAGGAAAAGACAAAAATTTGAGGCGTTTAAGTAAATAAAGTGTTACAACTGTTGTAAGCATTTGCCCAAATGCAACATACAAAAAAGAAGGAAATCTGTAAAAATTAAAAATTTGATTGGAATTAGTGTTTATTTGGCCCCTCAAAAATTAAAAAAAATTCCAGGGATGTTCAGTTTAATAGAAGAAAAGTGTTTAAGTTAGCCCCAAGCAAGCAAAGATCCTGCGACATGGAAACTATTGCTAAGGGGCTTTTGGCTCATCACGTACGGGTGCTACACCGATAAAACACCTATGCGCTGACTTCACTTTCTCTCTTTTAATAAATTTTAAATCCCTCCTTTAGTAAGCGGTTTACTGATCCCTTTACAACTTAAAATTCCTTCCTCCCTTCCCCAAAAAACCTTCAATAAATTGTGTCATTCTATACACTAGAGATTAAAATTTTTGAAAAGCCTGAGCCTGTTCCTGGATCTGGGGTTTGATTTATTGACCTATCCTGGGCCTGTAGTCCAAGAACAGGCCCAAACCCAGGAAGGTAAAAGAATGCCTGGGCCTGGACTCTGGGTACAGACCCCAGGCCTTTGTCCAGGCCCAGCTCGCTCTCTACTATACCCACTAGGATAATTTTTTTCAAAAATTTATGGAAAGAACCCTGGCCTTCCTTAAATTATTCAACCCCCCCCCCCCTATATTATTTTTAAAAAATAAACCTGTAATTAGTAAGTAAAATTTTATTAACAAAAATAACAGTAATTGAACATATTGCATAAAAAATTGCTGATAAGACACGAAGAAAAATTGTATTATTAGAAGAATTAGTAGAATGTTGTTTTTGACTAGTTGGTAGGCGAGACATTTTTTTAATTTAATTAATTTTCTTTTAAAATTTACACCAAAAAATTAAATAAAATATTCTTCCTTTCTCTTGCTAAAAAATTAATTTTTCTACATACATTTAACTCAGAAACGTGTAAAAAAAATTTTTTTTTGAAATTTAATCGTTTAGTAAAATAAACAAAAAAATGGGTATTTTAACGAGAATAAAAAGAGAAAAAAAAAGATTTTCTAAAAAAAATCCATAAAAATTAAATAATCCAACAAAAAAGAAATATTTATTATTAAAAAGGGGAGTAATAAAAGAATAACTCCCCCGCCCAAAGATTAAAAATAAATAATAATAAAAAATTGAAAAAAAAATATTTTTTTTGTTTGTTAATGTTGTTAAAGACAACTTTTAAATTTTAAAATAAATTTGCAAAAAAAATAATTTATCCAAAAATGAAAATATTGGGGTAACATAAAAGAATACATATTAAGGGTATAATAAACAGTAAAGCTTTGCAGCCCCGTCTAGATATTTTTAAGATAAAATTAATTTCTAATCAGCCCCTAGTTCCCACCCATTACTAATTTTTCGAACCGCCAAAAATACTTAAGTAAAGCCATCAAAGTAATTTTTTAAGCGATAAGCAGTGTCTTTATGAAAATTTGGGCATATTCCGGGGATACCCACCTCCTCCCCATCTCCCATAGACCCTCTCCAAAAAAAATAAAACAAAGATATCCTACCAAAGAGTGGTAAGGAAATAGTTGAGAGGAGCTGTTAAGATCAAGAAAGGTGTTTGACCGCTTTACTATCAGAGAACCATTAGATCCTTCGGAATTAGGAACATCTCTAAATTCGTGTGATAGCAGTTAAAACGCTTAGGACAGTGTCCAAGCTTTTACCAGCCTCCTACATAGGACGTGGTTTAATTTTTTTACCTAACACTTACTGTTTATTTTAAGAGGAAAATTATTTTAAAAAATTGAAAAATTTTCCAAATATTTTGATTTCATCCAAAATTTCTTCTTAATGTTCAGCCTCACAATTACGCGAAATCTGCGCCAAAAAATCAATAATACGATTCGGATCCTGTATTTGATTTGCATACATATGATCAACTATTGGGACATATTGTTGTACCAAACTTAAAATTTTTGCTTCAGCAGCCAATTGTCTCCTTCCCTTTTTTGGTGGATCTAAGCCCCCAATAAATTGACTAATTTCATCATCTGTCCTTTTTTGTTCTTTTCTTATAATATCTATAAATGGGTATACTTATTTAATATCCTACCCACCTCCCCCCCCTCTATTTGAGTTCCTTTTTTAATGTCAATCATTTATTTCCTTCAAATATGGGACATTTATGAATAGGGTTGTTTGTTTCAAACCGAACCGAAAAATGAAAAATTTCGGTTCGAGTTGACGGTTCGGTTAACTGAAGAATTTGGTGAAACCACCAACCCTACTTATGAACAAAATATGGGACTTGTTTCAAATGAGGGCGCGCGGCCACAACGGCGCAATGCCTTCTCCTTATAATATCCGAGGGAAGAAAATAATTGACATTAAAAAAACAAGGAAAAATTGTCAGTAAAAAAGGAACTCAAATAGAGAGGTTGGGGTATTAATAAAGTACCTATAAATGCCCACAAATTTGTTCGAATTGTTGTAAATGCTCTTTTTGTTCGACGATGTATACCCTCTACATAATATTCTATACGGTCTATACCGTCCAAAGTACGTTGATAAGCATTCCATTGGTTTGGAGAAAATAGTGGTTGAGATAAAGTTCCGTCAAAACGGGGACGTCCAGAAAAGTTGACAAGGAACCGGAAAAAGAATAGAAAATTTTTTGAACAATTTTTAGTTAGAATAGTTCAAGACTAGACCAGCAGATATAGGACAGGTCACCCAAAATCTAATATCAGGACCATTTTTCGACCCAAAATTCAAAACCCGATCCGAAACCCATCCCAACTTTTTCTCAACCTGTCCAGCACTAGTAACAGGGATGGACAGGTTTTCTTCCTAATTTCTGGTTAATCTAATTTTTAAACAAATTTTCCATTTAGAATTATTTTCAAAAATAAATCCCAAAAAACTGAAGTTAGAAAAAATAACCGTACCCGTGCATATCCTCATGAATGAACCAAAAAATCGTTCTCAAGAAATGAATAACCCCCAAAAAATTAAAAAATAAAAACAAACCAATCAAAAACTTGTTGTAATTGATTTGGAAGACAAGCTTCAAGAACAGTCAAAGCAGCAGCTAAATCAGAGATTGGAAGAAAAGCCAAACAAATAATCATTCGAGCAGATTCAGCAAAAACTGCATCAGTATTGTAAAGCTATTAAATAGAAATTATTTCAGGTTTAAAATTAAAAGATTTATAAGAAACTATAAAATTATTTGATAAAAACTAGAATGAAAAATTCTGCAAAAAATATTTTTCGAAAAAATTTTCGAAAAAATCGAAAAAATTTTGTCAGCAAAATTGTCACCAAAAAAATCAATAATCATTAGTGTTTCACCGGGACCGAAATTTTGACCAGAACCGGATCCAATTTAAGTTCCGGATCCCCGAACCGGAGCCAAGAAAACCCCGGAACTTCAGGTGAAACTCTAATAATAATCACAATCAGTGTCCAATAATTAAAAAAAATTTACTTGAATCAATCCTTGTTCACTCATTTGTTTCTTCAAATTTTGAGATAAATGGAAGAAGCTAAAATGTAAATTGCATTGAGGATGTTTTGCTCTCATAGCATTAAAAAATCCTTGTTCAAAATCGATTGAAGCTGAACGAGGAGAAAATGTTGGCCAACGTTTTTGGATTAAATCAAGCATTCGTTCATAAGTTTTTTGAGTTCTACAGGTTAATAAACAATAACAAATTGGAAAAACCCAAGCACCACGTCTAGAAAAAAAATAAGAATGAAAATTGTCTTTTATGCTCAAAGTCCGCAAGTTTTGTCCGCAATTCTACATTTAACTAGAATCCATTAAAACCGAGAGCGTATCCAAAGGTCCTAATTTCGGTGGGCCAAAATGAGGTACGCGACTACATTTTGGCGTCAAAAAAGAAATTTAAGCATTGAAAACATTCCAGAAAAATCTGTTGATTTTATTTCAAAGTCGCCCCTTCCTTTTTGCGGACTTCTGGTAGCAGCAAAAGAAACTAAAAAATAAGATTTACTAACCTAGCCATAATCAAATAAAGCTGATCAAATAAGACCGGCGCAACAGGAATTGTTCCATCAACAAAAATTTGTTGGACTTGATCTATCCATCCAGCGGTAGAGGCACAAGCAAATATTAAAATCCTTTAAAAGGAGAGATAAATTATTTGGTGAAGACTAGTCCAGAATTTTTTTTTAATGTTGAAAAAAATTTCTGGGATGGTCAAAGTTCAAAATAACTCCAGAAAATATCCCAGAAGAGAAAAAACTAGAAAATAACACACAAGCAGAATGAAACCCAAGACGTCTCTGTGCCAAGCCCTGTAAAAACAAACATTTTGGGCACCTAATTAACTTAAAAATACATCCCCCACTTTAATATTGCATCCAAACCAAACTTAACAAAAAAATAACCTCTGATCACCATTTTCTTCATAAACACCTGAATCAGCCAACAAAAATTGTTCTTCCTCAACTTCTCCTTCTGCCCCACCTTCCTTTGGACGCACATAAATTTTATATCCATTAGGAATATCCAAACCTCTCACATCGTCTGGACCAGAAGGTGGAAGGTTTGCTTTAGGGCGAGAACGTTTTTTTGGCTGGAAAATGACAACATAAAAAATAAATTAAATTGAAAACCTTTCTTAGAAAAGATTTGAAAGGTTCAGGAGAAGACACAAAATCATCAACGTTAATTTTAGGTTCAATTTTTGGCTGAAAAAAAAAACAATAAAAATATTTAAATTATTAATTATGTGAAAAATATTTGAGGATAACATAAAAAAAATAGGCAAAAAAATTTCAGTAAGGCTAGGTCAGTTCAAAAGATTTTTTAAATAATGGAAAAAGCAAATAAGACCCCTCAGAAAAACTAGACAAATAACCAACAAGAGAACCTCTCCCAACATTGTCAAAAATTTTTACTCCCTCCGAAAACATTTCTGGATAAGTTGACGCCCCCCTTTTTCCTTTCTATTTTTTCATCATTTTTTCTATTTAATGGCAAATCATATACATATCAGGGAAGCAGGGGAAAAAAGGAGGGCGTCAGCCAAAGTATTACCTAACAATAAGTGCCTGATAAAAGCTAGTTTCAGAAGCTAAGCCGCACCAAAAACCCAAGGAAGTTTTTTTGAGAATATGGATACAAACGCTAACAAATATTTCAAATACTTTTTAGATTCGACTATTCTATGAGAGAAAATTTTTTTACTAACAATAAAAATAAAAACCTTAGTTGCACTTCGCAATGTTCTATCAACTGAAGTTGAACCCTCATCCTTAGGAGTTCCAAACTTTTCAGCACTTCGTTTTCCTTTCACACAACTGTGACTTCCAATTTCTTTAATAACCAAATCGTCCAAATCCGTATGGATACGGGCTAAAAACACAAAAAAATTTAGGCCCTATCTTTAAGAAAACCTTTGCATTTAATCTCAGGTCCGCTAAAAGCCTCACAACGCCAAAATTTAACCAAACCATTTTTGCTTAGTTGATGAAATAAGTAAGGAATATTGTTGTGGTGTATTATAGGCTTGTTTCTGGATGTTGAAGTTCTTACTGTTTCGTATTCAGCCCCTTCATGGGAGGTATCAAAAGTCATTTCATCGTCTCTCTCATCTCCGTAATCGTGTTCAACATCCACATTGTCCTGTTTGGGGGATATTGGATATAAAAGGAGGGATAACCAGGGGGTGCCAGTTAACTTACGTCGTATTTCTCAATGTTTGAATTAGGGTTTTTCACGTCCGGTTAATTTTTTCCTCTCACAATCCTGTTATCCCCTTTTTTCCTGTAGCGGTTCAAATGCTCTTATTCTTCTCCATTTTCCACCTCAGGAAAAAATTAACAAGTCATGAACAATTCTAATTTCAACATCGGGGGTAATAGTGAAGAATTGGGGAGACACCTTAAAAATTAGGTAATTATCGGTTATCTCCCCACACATTATTTTCCTTTTATTTCCAACTCTCCTTCTCCCAAAAGTTACAAAAATGCCACATTTTCTTTTCCTTTTTCCTCTCTTCATCTGTTCAATAATAAAAATGCAACATTTTTCCCTCTTCTCCTTCTTCCCAGAAGTTATAAAATGTCACAGCCTTTTATGTGTCACACCTTTTAGCAAATATATAAGGCCAGGTACTTGTATTCCAAACGGATTTTAAAGAAAATAGCACATTTTAGCCCCCTAAACAATGTTTTTAAATTACATTTTAACTTTTTTAAAATAAATTTATTAATTACAATTATTTGCCTGTGACGTTTTTGTAACTTTTGTGAAGGAGAAGAGGAAAAACAAGAACGAAAATGTGGCATTTTTGCAAATTATGGAAAGAAGGAGAGGGGGAAATAAAAGGAAAATAATGTGTGGGGAGATAACCGATAAGTACCAAAAATTATCTCTTTCTGAAAATCATTTTGTATATGTAATTGACAGATGCTGATCACGAGATTACCTATACAAAATGATGTTGAGAAGAAAAAATGAGTTTTTAAGGGGTCTCCCCACTTCTTCACTATTACCCAAGATCGCTCCAAGAGTCAAGATTACTCAAAAAAATACCCCCATTTATTAAACATACCCCATGTCGTACCGATATAATTTCAACAGTCACTGGACAACCTTCATTTGACAACATCGCTCCAATTTGAGCCTTAACATCAGCTCCAGTATCCTTTCGATTAGAAGAATCGTCTTTACTAACTACAATTTCTTCTTGATTTGAATTGTCACTAGTGTCCCCAGCATTTAATGCAGCATCAATTTGTGCTGATATTGAAGACTTTTGATCTCTAAAATAAAAAAAATTGGATTAAGAAAAGGAAACTCAAACCCTCCTCTTTTCAAGGGACTCGTATTTCATACCTTTGTTCTTCCTGCATCTTTTTGAGTAACGGTCTGAAGTTAGAAAATGTAAAATATCCTACTCGTATGTCTGAAAATTTAGAGAGAATTAGATTTGATTCTTCATTAAGGCTTTCGGGAGTCTCGGTATTAGAGTTTTTTTACTTTGAGTATTGAGGGCATAGTAAGACAAACTAGTAAAGAGACAAAATTCTAATGTTTTGGTAATTAGAAGGCACTCTAAATGACTCAACCAAGACATCAATAAAAGGAGAATTCTGGGCATCAAAATATTTGAAAAACTCAAATGACAAGAACTTCTAGAACGAAGTGTCTAGCTTTCTCTTTCTCTAATTTACTTTATCGCTTTATTTATTAATACAAAATATCGGCTCCCATAGAAATCTCTATTCCTTAAAATCGCTACTCCTTAAAATCTCTACTAGGCTAAAAACGTGCCCGCTCAACTCATCTAATCCTTAACTCATCCACACGCCCAAAAATGCTCAACTCATCTAAACGGCTAAAATTCCTTAACTCATCCACACGGCCAAAAACGCTCAACTCATCCAATCCTCAACTCATCTAACACTTAACTCATCTACACGGCCAAAAACGCTCAACTCATCCAATCCTTTGGAACGAGACTATTGAGTACCAGTCGTTTGAGTCCCTGGCCGTTTGAGTCTCTGGCCGTCTGAGTCCATGACAAGTTGAGTCCCTGGCCGTCTGAGTTCATGACCAGTTGAGTCCCTGGCCGTTTGAGTCTCTGGCCGTCTGAGTCCATGACAAGTTGAGTCCCTGGCCGTTTGAGTCCATGACCAGTTGAGTCTCTAGCCGGTTAAGTCCCTGGTCAGTTGAGTCCCGGCCGTTTGAGTGGTTGATTACCACCGATTGAGTCTTGGGCCGGTTGAGACTCAACTGACCAGGGACTCAACCGGCTAGGGACTCAACCGGCCGATATTTCAAGGATTGGATGAGTTGAGCGTTTTTGGGCGTGTGGATGAGATTAAGCATTAGATGAGTTGAGGATTGGATGAGTTGAGCGTTTTTGGCCGTGTGGATGAGTTAAGTGTTAGATGAGTTAAGGATTGGATGAGTTGTAGGGTAGCCGCTAAAAATGCTTAAAATCTCTACACCGTGCAAATGGACGGTAGAGTCTCAACAAGAGTGTAAAATATGAACCTTTCGCTGGAAAAACCAGACTTGGTAATTGATACGGAAATGAATACAATTAATTTGAAAATGGCTGCGGATATACGCCTGTATCCGCCGTAAATATCGAAAATATAATACACGACTGATTCGCTGCGGTCGTGTTCATTTTGCTTGGGGTTATCGTATCGAAGCGGCTGCTGTCGTTCCGCTGGACATGCCTGGGTTTATCCGCAACGGTAAAAACTACTCAAGCAAAATAATATCAAAAGATACACCAGAAATATGAACAACGTTTCCGCACTGAACGTTGGCACCCGAATGAAAAAAATAGACATTTTATCTTATTTTTGGCCGTGTAGAGATTTTAAGGTATTTTATCCGTGTAGAGATTATGAGGAATAGAGATTTTAAGGAATAGTTTTAATCATTATTACCCGAGTAGAGATTTTAATGCATTTTAGCCGCGTAGAGATTATAAGGCATTTTTGCTGAGTAGAGATTTTAAGGAATAGAGATTTTGAGGGGATACGAAAATATCAAATTTCAGTTCGCCCAACACAGAAAATTATTTCATTTACTCTAATGATAAACAATAAATTAATTTCTTTTGAAACGAATACATTATAGATGATACTGTATAAAAAATAACAAACGCTTGACAGTTAGAGAAATTTTCCGACCTACTACAAAAAGGATGTTGGACAAAACGGCATGCGACAAAAAGGTACTTCAGCAGAATCGACGATAACGACACCGCTACATGAATACTTAAATTCCCTGCAAACAACAAAAAAGAAAAGTAGTAAAAATAAGAACAATGTTGAGTCTTTTGCACTTTATTAAATTAATTTAGTACTAAAGTTTAACAAGATCATTTGAAATAAAAAAATATATCTGGGAATTTTTTTTTGGAAATAATTAGGAATAATTAAAAATATTTTTTAAATTAAAAGCTATAAGTATGAATCTAAAGAGTAAATTAAAAGAGAAAAATAATATATTTTGTGAGATTTTCCAAGGGCGTAAAAAATATGAAAATTTTAAATGGGATCAACTTAGGGCCATATTTTGGGTCATAACTTTTTTGATTCTTAACCGATTTAAATATTATATTAATCGAAAGCTCAGAATGTAAGGATTATTTTAGTTAACAGGATTTTTTTAGAGCGCCGAATAAAGAGCAAAAATCACGATTGCGCGTGCTTACCCGAACGTAACCTTTTGTAGGATGATTTTATCAAATCAATCCTATTATCTAAAATAATCCTTAGAGCTCGAACTCGGTCCCGGATTTTCCGGGCCTGGTAGCCCAGAAATCGGGTATTATGATAAAATCCGGGTTTTAGAGGTTTTTAGCCCGGAAAACACGGCCCGGGTCAACTTGGGGGAAACAAACCCGGATACCGGACCCGGCAAAGTGAAAAATTTGAGCACTATATCCTCAGATCCCGAGCTTTCAATGGATATAAAAATTATGTATTTAAATCAGTTAAGAATAAAAAATTTTGGCCCAAAATATAGCCTCGAGACTGAAAGTCTTTACCGAAAATGGTCTATCTTCGCAGTTATTCTACGCCCCTGATAAATTTACATAGTAAATTAAACAAAAGGTAACCAATTAACATTCAACATTGTACCAAAAATAAAATATCCAAATAAATAACAAAAAATTAAAAAAGGCCAAAAACCTTTTCTCATATAATCCCTTAAAAAAGGTAAAATTTTTGAATTTATGAGATCATCCAATTTTTGTTGTTCTAATGTTTGATTATTTATAAGACGAGCTAATACCAAATATAAAAATGGTGAAGAAGAAAATAAAAGTCTTATTGATATCTTTAAAAATATGAAAATTTTAGAGAAATATTTTTTGTAATTAAAAAACTCGTTTATAGGGAAAAATCCAAAAGAAGATACAGCTAGATTCCTAGCCTAATTCTCGGTAGTTTGCGGTAAAGGTGGGTGGATTTGGATTCGAAAGAGTTCGAAATAGGTCCGTAGACATGGGGCGCTAAAATTAAATCCCCCCTCTTGGCCCCCTCCCGAAAAAATCCTGGTTACGGGCCTGGTCCGAATATCCATGAAATTTCAGTTGGGATTCTGATACGGATATACGGGATCCAAAAGCCGATCCATCTAAATTCCCAGCCTAATCTTCAGTAGTCACCGGTAAAGGTGGGTGGATTTGGATCCGAAATCAGTCCGAATATCCCAGCAAATTTCAGTTAGGATTCTGATCCGGATAACCGGGAATTTCCCAGGATCTGCCAACCCTTGCCCTTGGGGCCTAGTCAAATGTCGTTTGGACCTTTTTCCTCTCTCTAGTATATCCCTTAAATATTTCTACAAATTTTTGGATAAGAGAAGGAAAGAACGGGGCTCACACAATTCCTAGTCCTACAAAAAATAACAATAAAAAGCTTCCCCCTCTTCAAAAAAATTTTTTAAAAATAATTTTCAAAAAAAACCTCCACATTGTAAAACACAACACCAGAAAATGCCAAAAACAAAATATGAACAGCAAAAGGTATTTGCCCATTTCTATCAACCAAAATTTCCGGTATCGGTCTCAAATCCGTTGATAATAGACCAAAAGTTTGTTTAATAAATCCATAAAATGCAATCCACAAAGTTGGTGCAGCAAGTAAAAATAAGGGCAATTTTTGCCATTTCCAATAATTAAATAGACCAACATCCCAATATTTTTGTTGAATAAATTGGTAATAATTTGGTAGCAAAATATTGTAAAGGGAAAAACTGAAGAGAAAAAAAAAATAATTTTTCAAATTTTTAATTAAAAATCTTTTCTTGGTTCTTTCCCCTATTTAGCTCCTAAATATCCTCAAGTTTTACACAATTTATTCTTATATCTTCAATCACCTCCCAAAATTTTTTTCCTTTTTCCCATTTCAGGGAAAGGAGGAATTCCCCACCTAACCCCTTGGTTACGGGCCTGCACGTGTGAATTAAAAAATGGTTGCTAAAAATGAGTGTATCTCCATTATTTAAAAAACTCTTAAAAACTCTTAGGCAGCCCAGAAACGCTTAATACTCACCTTAGAGCCATCACCCAGCGACAACCAAAACTTACAAAATGTACCTTAAATTAAGGTAAACAAACTGACAATGAGGTGTAAAAAGAGAGGAAGGTATGAGTTAAGTAACAATGTTGTTATTTTACAGAAAAGACATGACTTGCGGACAAAACTTGCGGATTTTCGGAAGCATAAGGAAAAAAGAAAAGAAAAAAATAATAATAAAACTATCCCTATTATTTTTATAAAATTAAAACAAAAAAACCTTTGATTACACCATTCCAATTTTGTCAATTCCCCAGGCAATACAATTTCCCTACTCAAAGCTTCCTCAGAATTAAAATAATTTTTAATCCTCAAATCATTATATTCAACATTAGATAAAGAACAAAATTTATCATGAACAGAAAATTCAAATACTCGAAGTGGAATTGACATTAAAGCAAAACATATTAGTCCAAAGAAAATGTTGTTGAAAAACTTGAAGATAAAATAAAAAATTTTTAATTTAATTTTTACTTATCCTCCCTTTTTAACTTAAAAATAGACTTGGATTTTTCTCTTGTAATAAAAGTTCAAACTCAAGAATCTTTTTCAGTCTTCCTAA